ATGTATGTATGTATGTATGTATCTTCCCCACATCTGTACACATCGTAGTTGGTGACGCATGGCGACGCCAAGACTTCAACAACCCGCCAAGCCTAGGCCCGGTGCTGACACAAATCTTTTTCCTACGCATGCAACGCCTGGGCGCTGCATCGCTGCCACTGCTACCCCCGCACTGGAGGTTTCCCTGCCTGGCGTGGTGCAGACAAACATGGGTAGTCTGGAACAGAATCTATCTGGAGGTTTACATACCCGTTTTATGTTGAAGCCAAAAAGTTGTGTGTAGGCAGGCAGTCCCGTGAATGTAGGTTCTCCGTTTCACGATGATTTCCTTCGGCATGTGCTTTGCCAACTGCACGAGGAAAGAGTCGTTCAGCATGGCAAATAAGAATAACAATAATAATAATAATAATAATATATATATATATATAAGTGGCTCCTGTATAGCGGACATGGACCTAAATTCCCCAGAACGAGAACTACGACGGCTGCAACGGTGACTGAAACCACCAATGCTAATGCTCGTAGACCCTTAACCGAAGGGCCTACACCCATGCCGTACCCTTAACGAAAAACCCGCGGCCTGTTCGGATCTGCCTCTTCATGGTCGGCACCTAAAAAATGCAGAAATCTGTAGAATTCAGGGCTCAAGACTGAGAAGCTTTGCTCAGTCGAGTTCGGACTAAACTGGCTTTCAACACCAAACCCCAAAACCCCTCTGACTGGGTTCGGGGCTCTTTGGGTCGTCGCTCGACCTGCCAGTGCTCGCTGTGCGAGTCTTCCAACGGGTTGGGGTGTAGGGGATGTTTATATCATAGTCTCTAACTATATGAATATATATATATATATGTATATGTATGGTCAGAGTGTCAAAACTGTCGGAATCATGTGACGACCGGACGTTACCGCGACAGCAGTAACAGTGGCAGCCAAGATTGAAGCCGTGGATTGACGGGGATGTAAAGACATCGTTGAATCCTTGCAGAAGCCCTCACCGACCAGCTGAGAGTCCTCTGTGCAGCAATTCCTTCAGTGGGCATCCGATAACTGCATTTTTCTTCGCTCTACCGCGTCACATCTCGTTTTCGGAAATGCCCATCATTCTTTAAGAGTTTTGTGGTCTGTAGAGGATGGAAGGCTCTTGGGAAGGAAGTCACCAGCCCAAAGTCACGCGACCATTTGCATAGAGTCGCGGATATTCTGGTAAGTCTTAGTCTTGCCTGTGGGAGATAGCAATCCTCAATCGAACAGTAAGCCCAACCACACCCCATGCAAAAAACACGAAACTCTGAACGCTGATGGGCTCCCTTAAACGAACTTGAATCTGAGCCTCGCCGACTCTGGCGAAAGGCTTGTATGCCAGCGGACACCTTGTTATGGATGTACTTCCCAGACACGTACACAACATCAAACTTGCACCGAAACTTCGGGGAGTTGGTGTCGCGCAGCTTCCAGACCGAAAGAGCTAAGCCTTGCTACAGTCCTCCTTTTAACTGCATTAACAAGCCCCCTGCTCCATGAGCTGCAAGGCTTCGGTAGAGGCCTCATGTTGGGGGGGACTCAGTATGTCTCTTTCGCAGGTTTATGTCTAAGACTTGTACTGCTGCTCAGAATCGCAAGATTGGTGCCGTGTTTACCGCCGGCCAGCTGTTCTGGTTCACGCTCTTCTCATTAGCCACACGGTGTGGTAACAGCAATAGACATTGCAGTCAGCACAGTAGTAACAGTACTCTCGAAAGCCAGTGTAGTAGTAACTGGAGCCTCAAGACCGGGCTGGAAGCCGCAGCAGCGGGAGTCGTAGCAGTCATACAACTAAGAGTAGTAAGATGACAACTAATCACAGCTACCAGCCCTTCCACGACCACGGCCACAACATCGACGACTACTACATATTTTGCGAGTTCTCCTTCTACTCCGCCGAAGTTGCCATCATTCCGCAGCCTAGCAGTCGCTTCCTGGCTTTCAGCAAGTCAGGGCTCCCACAGAGCGGCACGATGTCATGTCGCGTGGGCCTCAGCGCACCCGACGGGTGGCACCAGGGACCCTGTGTGTAGTACAACTACCAGAATCTATCCCGCAAGATGCATATTTATCAGATACCAGTCCGTCTAGATATGCCGATCTATGCATGCCATCTACTTACCTACTCATCCCTGGTCCTCTACACGCTATTTCTATTTCTATACCTCTAGGTGCTGCACCACCCTGATCCCGACAATGACTCTGGAATCACTGCTCGTGAGCTACCTGCAATTGGTAAATATCCCAACGAGAACACACGACTATGTGCAAGAAAAGAGTGTGCAAACAAATGCATGCACATTTGCATATACCAGCAACACACATACACACATGCATGTCTAAATGTCATGCACATGCACCTGCAGCTGCACCTACACACACATATATATATATATATATGTAGATGCACACATGCAAACCAATACACACATACATAGACATGTTTGAAAAAGCCTATAGAGATGAACAGGTAGAACGGTTAGTAGAAGGTAGAGAGAGGAGAAGTCTGGTCATCAAGCACAGGTGAAACTTTGTTCTCGTCGAGCGGAGAGAACTGCTTCATTGAAGCGCGTGATCGCACCACATCACCGGAAAGCACTGGGCTGCCAACCTCATCACGCCTTGGCACACAACGTATGGGGAGTGAGCTCTCAACTCGCGAAGGGCTCAAGGATTAGTAGCGTACAGTAGGAATTAGGGATTGAGCTCCGGAGGGGTTGGTGTCTGAGGGCTCAGGTTGAGAGATAAAATCCTAAGAAAGTTAGGATGTCGAGATCGAAGTTGGGTTCGAGGTGTGTGGCGTCGCCCAGGTCAGGATGAGTTCATCTTGACTGCGCTTCCCACTTGGGGGTTTACATGACTAGTTGGATTCCGTTCAATGTCGTGCCAAATTAATTCTCAGCGAATCCGCCTGCGATCCTAAGGAGACTGTCGAAAGGGAACATCGTTTGGGACAGGCCAGGTGCCACCAAGCAGCCCAGCTGCCGCAGCAGGCGTTGACCCACTGAGCAAAGTGCCGTCTGCACGGCCGGCGAGAGCACGCGCAGAGCACCAGCGGCCTGATCTCACCCGGCTGTGTTTACCCATAGGCCCCCCCTGACTAGTTCCTTTTTGGGATTACCTTTTAGGATTCTAAATATGAACCCCAAAAAGGAACTACCATGGCCTATGTGTATAAGACTTATAGTAGATACTTAAGCCTTAAAGTACCCGCACAGGGACCCCTTTAAGGCCTAAGTCTCTACTATAAATGTACATGGAGCCTTTGGGTGTGTGAAGACTAAGAGAGAGAGGTAGCACTGGAACCTCAGATGTCTTTCAAATCTTCCCGGAGACAGTTAGGAGCCTCACATAGCCATCCTGCTGGCACGACAAGAGAATTGCCTCCGATTTCCTTGTGCTTCAGAGCAGCCTTTGGGCTTTAAGGGCTCCGGGTGAAGGACGTTTCCAAACCTTACCGCCATGAACACACTGAACCCTAAACCCTGAACCCTAAACCCTAATCGATGCAAAGCACTGCTCCCCACCAGCACCTCCAGGGCGTTTTGCCACTCTAGCGGCACATCACCAGCAGGGTTGGAGAAGGTCGGCCTTTGCTTAGATGTCAGGGTTTAGGGTTTTGGGTTTAGGGTTTAGGGTCCGAGAGGCTTTGGCACTTCGGAGTGCTTAGTGGCTGCGACTCTGCGGAAGTCTCAGTCTTCAATACATGGGGGTTTCAGAAAATAGGGGACCCCAATATAGTACCCTAAATAGTAGGATCCTTAGAATGAGAACCCCCAAATAGGGTACCCTAACTTTCGGAAACTTCCACATGAGTTTCGCAGTCGTGGCTGCTTGGTAGTAATCTAAGGAGCGTCTGGTAGCGAAGAGACTCCAAGGCTGAGCCCCCAGGAGCTCTGAAACATAGTAAGCCGCAAGCCCTAAACCCTAAACCCTAAACCCTAAACCCTAAACCCTAAACCCTAAACCCTAAATCCTAACACCCCAAAGAGATCGGTGGGAGATGCCTCTGGCCCATACTGGCGAAACTAGATTCTGGAGGAAGCGTGGTCCTAGATGAAGTATGAATTCAAGCAGGGCTCAGGTTTCAGGGATTTGCAGCTAAACGGATTGTGCCTGTTTAGGAGCTTTACACGAGGCTCAGGGAGTTTTTGGTTTGTGCTGCCGGTCGGGTTATAAATCGCAAGTTTCGTCAGAGGTCTGGTTCTAATGCAACTGGGGATTTAAGGATCATCGAGAAACACTGGTTTGGGAAAGTCCTGCCGGGGCGACTGATGATCCAAACCAGGCACTTGAACAAAAGTAGCTGCCGAGGGAGCTAGTGCCACAAAAAAAAACGGCCAAACCCGAGCCTAAAACTCTAAACCCCAAGCCATCCTAAACCCTAAACCCTAAAACCCTGAACCCTAAGCCCTAAACCCTGACCCCTCCAATCCCTTCAGTCCTTTGCTAAACTCACGAGGCCGGAAACGATGCTGCCGGGCCCCGGGCCCATCTACGATGCGGAGGGCATGACCTGCTCTAGGTAAGGGCGAAAATCATGGCGTCAGCAGGTTCAGGGCTTAGGGTTACAAGTTGCTTTAAAATACAGAGTGGTCCTGAAGATGACTTACGAGACGTAGATTCGGTGTGTTGCTTGATTCGGTGTTTTTTAGGCTCTGTGAATCCCTGAAGCGTCGATTCGGTACAGGCCTGCGGCGTCGGGTATGAGAGGCACCGTCTTCAGCTGATCGAGCACCTGCCAAAAGGTCCAGGGACATCTATCCCAGCAGTGAACGCTGCAGTCAAAAACATGACCAGACCAACAAAGTAGTACCTGCAAACAAGCACAATCATAAGCCCCGACAAAACCTCAGAATCCGAAATCACAAGGTAACAAGCGTTGCGCACACACGCACATCCCCAAAGCCTCGGGCTTGTCCGAGACGTTTGAGCCCAGCCTCGTACTCAAGTCTCTGAATCTAAGGGCGTCGGCCCCAGATGGTGCGACGATCGAACACAAAAGCGTGGGTTTCAGCATGAAGTGACGACAACAGGGCTACAACCTTGGCAAAAACATCTAAACAAAGAGTGGACATGTTTCTTCAGTTTTTTCATGGTGCCTCTTCACACCAAACGAAACTGACAAAGGGCCAAAGCGCAAGCGGTCTTTTTTCACTGGACAGTTCCGTCGAGGAGTTCAAGACGAGTTCAAGGTTGTGGCAGCACGAAGCTCAAGGTTTCACCTCACTCTTCCAAAAACGTCGGGAAAAGCAGGGCCTCAGAGGATCTCAAAAGCCACCTGGAGCAAAGCCGTGAGGCCGAAGGACTCACCGATGCTCTCCACCAAGATCTCTTCCACCACTGAGAGGACTTCGTCCTTCAAGTGGTCCTTGATCTCGCCCTTGAAGTCTTCCACGAGATCATCCACCATCTTGCCACGTTGTGGGCTTTCAGAACCGCCCTCGGCCTGTTGCAGGATGCTCCTCATCAACTTCTCATGGTTTTTGGAGTGGACAAATGTGAAAGCCATGAGATATTTCATGGGATTGTGCCCCTCCTCGGCCTGCAAGTACACATTCTTGGGCACCTGCTTCGCCAGGCTCTTCATGACTTTCTCGGGTTTCTTGGCATAAGCAATGGCCACATTCTTGGCGTAGGTCATAAAGCTCAGGAGGTACAACCCCAAGACCCTGTCGGAGGCTTCCTTGCTCATGCTCTTCTGAATGATGGTGTCTCGGTCAATCTTGGAATAGTTCTCCAAGAAGGCCAGCAACATACGGTATTGATCACCAGATCCGGCATCGAGCTGTTGCTGGATTCTCACGGCCTCCTTGTTGTTCTTGGCTGCTTCCATGGCCTTACAAGCCAAGTGCTTCACTCCAAACATCGCCAACCACGACACAGGGTCGGCCATCGATCAGAATGGATCTGCAGCTCGAAGCAGGGTGACTCCAGGCGGCTTGAGCTGTGCGGCAGCGAATCTGCTTCTGTGAGACCTCGTGACTTGGTCCTGCGCCGGAGATCTTTTTTTGGGACATCCTCCGTTCAGTATGTATATATATATATATATAGATATACATGCATACATACATACATACATACATACATACATACATACATACATATATATATAGGTTCACATGTATATATACAAAAGAAACAAGTGTGGATGGCTTTGAGCTTCGAAATGAAGCAATGAAGCTTTGAATGTACCCACTTGCTTCAGGTCTATGAGTGAAGCAAAACAACAGCACTTTAGAAACAAACTTGCACCAACAACTATGCAGAATGCTTACCGTTTTCTTGCTCGTTGGCCAGCAGGGTCACTGATCCGTGGAGCAAAAAACAATGGTGCTGACGTGCTGACCAGATCAGCAAACAACGACTGGATAGCCTTTGGGCGTTGACAACAACTACGATCAACTACGCTGGTGTCGCTCCCGTGGCCTGTCGCAGACCAAAGCAAAATCACCGGTACAATGTAGGATAGAACTGTTTCGCGAAAACTGGGATACCTCTCATTGGTTTTCACTAATTAAGTACGTGCCCAACTAATAGCACAGCTGCTTCTGTAGATCACATATTGGGCGGGCTGCGGACACACAGACCCGGAAGCGGAGACCTTGAGACTTCAATGACTCCTTCACGGATTTTTTAGAGCTTGTGTTTTGGGCACGGTCTAGAACGAAACTGTTTTGAAGTTGTGATCATGGTTTGCGCACTTGTGCTTTCGGTCTTCACTGCACATATAGACCCCTGCTCTGATGGCTGATGAATGCAGAACAACTTCAATTCTCATGTGGGGCTCACTTGGCCCTATCTCTAGAGCAACGTGTCGTTCGCAACAGTCTCATCACACAGTCATCCCAGTTAGGTCTTCTCACAGACATGTCTTGCGAGGACTTCCAGACTTGTGACATCTGAGCCGTCAGCAAGGCAAACACCCGTCGGAAGAAGCCGTGGTCCTTGCAAACTCACAGCATGCTGCGGAGGGCTGGCAAGGCCTTTTGAATCGAACACTTGCCACCCATGCTTGTGCAAAAGGCTCCACCATTTGCAAAGCTTGCTCCTGAAGCCTGAACCGTCTAACCTCTCAGCTAGCAAACATGTCCCCAAGAACAGTCTTGTTTACGGTCTAAGCAGAAGCACAAGGCTGTACGAAGACTGAAAGTGCACGTCCTGCTTGCCCGCGGCCTCTTCTACAAGACTCCTCGCAGATCGCAGTGCCGTGCGACGAAGTCGAGAATTCTTACTGCTGCATGGAAGCTGGTCAACTAGAAAGACACTAAACTGAAAGGCTAGAGAGTCTATATTGCATTTCTGAATGGTTATGGGCATGAAAACACCGTGACAGCGACAACAGGCAGTAGCAACAATCAGAACAACCTGAACGATCAAGCCAAGGCAATAATAAAAGCCATAACATTCGCAGTCGTAGTGATTATCAACCTGAGGATACGGAATACTGGAGAAATTCATAATTCCGACTTGCCTAACACATGAGCCGTAGGTAGAACCATGATCGTTAAGATGGGGCGATGATGAAGACCAGGAGACTACGATGATGATGATTATGATGATGATGATGACTATGATGGTGATGATGATGATGCCATGATGATGCCGATCTTGCCATGATGATGCTGCTGGTAATGACGGTTAACGGTTCATGCTGAGGATGACATCCAGCCCGGATTCCATCTGGCCTCAAAGCCTCTCACCTCCCTACATGGCACAATCTGCAGGCCGCGGCAGAAAATCACAACACAAATCATCCTGCGAAGTTTGCAAGTCTACACTGTGTCAGCCGGCTATGATGCTTTCCAGGCTTGAACTTTTTTGAGCTTGAACCTCCAAACCCCACTGGACCCTGTCCCTCGAGCTTCGCTTCTCCTGGTCGTCTCTGATGTCAGGTCTCCCCCTGACTCGTCCTGAGGCACACGAAGCTCCCAAGGGGTTTCTCTTTCCGCAGGAAACGTCTAGCCATCCAAGATACCTCAAGACTTGGTCGACGCTCTTGAGAAGGCAAGGTTCGCACGATTAGGAAAGGACTCGAGCAGGGTATTGTAAGAGTCACGTCTTTAATTCGGGTGGCAATAAGAATACTTCCCGGGGCCAGAGTTTCTGGCAGAAGACTATTTTCAATTGCGTAGAGCTTCAAGGCCAGGTTCGCCTAAACAAATGATGTCAGACCTAGGATCGGAGTAATTAAAGGGGTGACAATAAAAAATACTCCCCGCCTAAAATACCCGAAAAAATAGGCTGCCAGGCTAAGAAGCTAGCAAAAGCTCAGACTAAGAGGACCCTAAACTCAGCCAGCA